TAAGCCCTTGCAACACTTATTTTCTTGAAAAAAACCCATCTCATTTTAAACATCCAAATAAAATCCAAATTTAAAGTAGACTGCCATGTAAACAAATAAATACCTATTATTTTCAAACCATTTACAATTATGCCACAACACTCTAATTATGTTAATGAATTTAATTATTCACCATAATTGTGAGAAATAAGTGCCTTATTATTATAAAATTATCTACTTTATACTTCTCTTACCATCATATGTTTCATTTCTTTTATTTGTTTGACAATCATTGTAGGTAAATTATTTTGAAAGTATGTAACATCCCACATCGCCTAAGGGAGTGGATCATGTAAGCCTTATATGTATATTCTCATCTCTACCTAGCACAAGGCCTTTTGGGAACTCACTGACTTCGGGTTCCGTAGGAACTCCGAAGTTAAGCAAGTTCGCGTGAGAGCAACCCTAGGATGGGTGACCCACTAGGAAGTTCTCGTGTGAGTTCCCAGAAACAAAACCGTGAGGGCGTGGTCGGTGCCCAAAGCGGATAATATCGTGTTGCGATAGAGTCGAGCCCGGGATGTGGTGGGGGCCCGGGCCGGAATGTTACAAGTATGTATTAGACACATTTTGTTAAAATTATTTATATGCTTTCAAATAATTTATCTATATTTTTATGTAAAATAATATGTAATTAATTAATTTGAATCAATTGGCTAAAAACATTTATTTATTTTGTAGGTAAATTATTTTTCATGTGATACTACATATATACTAGCGACATTTTGTTATTATTATATAGAGTGTGCAATCAATCGACATTCTTTTATTTTGAAGGTAAATTATTTTGCATGTAGGTAAATTTTTTTATATTTTTTTTGGCAAAATATCGGTATTTAAGTAATTTTGAATAAAAAATATTTATTTATTTTGTAGGTAAATTAATTTGCATGTATCATTACATAATTTACTAGGAACTTATATTGTTATATATGTTGTGCAAAATAATTTACCTATGTTACATTTAAAATATTGATAATTTTGAATAAAATAACTTTTTTATATTGTAGAATATATTAATTTACCTGTTAGCATCATGTGAAAACAACCATATAAGGAACATTGGTATCATGTAAAGTTTTGCTATTAAATGCATAGGAATCATGACATTTATTTTTTTTTTCCAAATCCCATAAGGTATTTGAACATTTAATTGAATGAAATAATGTAAAATAAATGTAGATAATAAGTGAGAGACCCAAAGTAAGTGTTATTAGGGGTAATTTAGACATCCAAAAATACATATTTTGTAATGTCAAACTTAATTATGGATATTGCTTAGTTGGAGTCCAGTCATTAAGTTTTTGTTAGAGAAATTTATCATGATGGGTTTTAATTAAAGAAAATTGAATTTCAAGGGGTGTACTCATATTTTCAGTAAGAATTATAACAAAAAGTTGATATGAAAGTATTAATATACCCTTAACGATTAAAACTTCCTCATTTGCTCTTATTGGCGTAAAAAATTACCAGTGGTAGCTTCACTTTTCCACAATTCTTGCGTCCCAAGTTCTAACTCTATTTCTCTTCCCAGCATACTTGCCCCATAATTCATGTACTATTTGACCAATAATATTGAACACTAAAGCATGAATAATAAAAAAACACGAAGCTTTAAAAGTCAATATGTCAAACTAGTATCATATAACACTACTACTGTTAACAATTATCGCGACAAAACAATAACCGTCGCGCAAAGAAGATTTTCGTTGCTTAAAATAACACATGACGAAATCTTCGTTGCCACCTCTTTGTTGCGTAAGGCTCGTAAAGAAAGGTCTTGTGCAACAAAGAGAAGAACAATCCTTGCGCAAAAGTGTTTGCACGACGAACTGAAGCTTCGTCGCACTAAGTTAAAAGGGACGAAGCACATTCGTCACATGAAATGTAAAGGGACGAAAGTTTTCGTGGCACAAGAACAGAGTGACAAAGAGTCACTTCGTCGCATATAGTTTAGCAGGACGAAGAATTTCTTCTCACAAGATTTATCACCGTTCTTGTGCGTATAAATGGGGACGATGACCTATTTCGTCGCGCAAACCATTTTTAATTTTTTTTTCTTTTAAATGTTTATAAAATGAATTTTTAAACAAAATAATTTTGTTTGTGTAATGAATTTAGGAACATTAATTGATAAGGAAAAATATTTATTTAAAATAAATATGAAAATGTACGTACAAGCCGGAAATTTTTAAAAAAGTAGGAATGTTAAAAAAAAAAGACTACAATATGAAATCATCACTGTCAACTCTGCCAGTCACCTGAGCTTGGGCAGGGGCCTGGGAGGTCGAGGGTGTTTGAGGAGGAGGTGTAGCGGCAGGGATGTTGAAGCCAAACATCTGAATCTGGGCTATCCTAGACTCTTGGGCATCAATATGGGCACTCTGGGTGGCGATGTGGGCAATTTGGGTCGCAATGTGCTCATTTGGGCTGCCACCTGCTGCTAGAGTTCTGCTACTTGCTCCATCAGCGATATGACTTGTCCTAAGGTTAAGGTGGAAGAGGAGACTCGTCTCACAATGGTGGGCATTTTCCATGCCCCAATATACCATCCCGGCCTAGAACTGAGTCTCTAGTCGATGGTGTCCATCATGATAAAAAGACTCGCATCCCGGGGGGGATAGATCCTTTATCGGGGTGTTAGGGGAAATTGGGAAGCCACCTCCTCGAGGACGGCTTGGCTCCTCTCCACCATAGTAGCTTGTAATTATAAAAATAAGTTAATTAATATTTATATGAAATTTATTTAAAATGAATAATAATTATAAATTTGAGAATTATAAAAATTTACATAGGCTCCTCCATAAACTCATACCCGGGCCGCACGTACACCTCTTTGAACGTGTCAATCTCAGGAAACTTCGACCCCCCTGAATTAAAAAATAATAACAAATATATTATTAGTTGTGTAATAGGAGAGATTTTTCAGTGTAACCGTCACATAGGATAGTACACCACATGTCACTATATAAATGGTGGGATATGTGTGTGTTTGGGCCAAAAAATATTGTTTTGGGCCGAGTTTAGAATGGTTCTCGGCCCAGTGTTGGTTGGGTCGAGTTTAGAATTCTTATCAGCTTAGAGGTCGTGTATAGGTGCCATTGGGGGTTATTTAGCTTCTGGTCGCATGGTTGAAGTTGGCCAAATCCCATCAGGGAATTAGGGATATGGATGAGTCCTATTATCAGAAGGAGTTTCGATAGGATCAGGATGCTGGAATTGAATATGGCCTGATAACAAGTTATGTTCAAAGTCCTAGTAGGAGTAGGATTGGCCGAGGTAAAGTTAAATTAGGGAAATGAGTTCTAATCCGGGAGTGATTGGGATTCAATACAGGTTGGCTGCTATAAATAGGGAGAGAAGACATCGAAACAACCCCTTCCAATTCAACACACAAATTGCCCTGCGCATTCTCAAGCTCTACCCGAAACCTCTCAACAACCTTGAGATTTTTGTTTTCCTCTTTTCGCCAACGCACCTTCAGTTTGGATAAACAGCACTGTGAAGGCAACCGTCGAACATCTTCAGTTTGGATAAACAACACTGTTGTCGTAGATTCAGCCGACTGTGAAGCATCTTCAGTTTGGATAAACAGCACTGCGACAGGGCCGACTGGTTATCTATCCAAGTCTCGGTCGAGAAGGATTTTTGAATCCTTATCGGCAGGGGTCATCTTGTTAGCTTTCTTGGCGAAGTGAGGTGTTACAAGTTACTATACTCGGCACATTGAACGCCAAGTCGTTTATGATTGGTTATTCGCAAGTAGGTTTTAGAGTTCGGCATTCTGACGGCCTAACCACTTTCACAATCAAGACATATATTTTTTTTTGAATACTTGTGTCCCTATACTCTGGTGTAGACGTGCTTATACTCTTACGAATATAATCACGGTGACCGAATCCGGCACCGACGATTTGTGAACTTCGCAGAACTAGTAGCTTTGTCTTCAAGCTCTAGAACCTGAAGGCCGAGGCGTGTTCCTTCCTCGGCCACAGTCGCAAGATCGAGAAGTCAGCTGTGCACCCAACGCAACATCAACAAATTTTACTCCTCGGCCGAGCTCGGCTGACGAGTTGGCATGCCCCACATACAACTGAAGGACGTAGTTAGCTTACTAATTATTCGGCCTGAGCGCCACGTAGGCTTGATAGTTTTTAGGGTCAACAGTGTGTTAAAAAGTTAATGACTTAAAAAATAAAATTTCTCACCACTTATATAAAAACACGTGGTGTACCACCTATGTACCCGTCACAACTAAAAATTTCTCGTGTAATAGAGTAAAGCTAATAATTTAAAAAAAAAAAAATGTGTTCCTACATTGTCGTCGACTGCTTTGCTACTCATTAGACTTGTCTGCCTTCACAGCGACTTACATTTCTGCTGCATTTGAAAGCACATTCCAACCATTAACTGGGGAATCGCACACTAAACTCGGAACTGAATCAGTGTTCTTATGCTTGGTGTGTGCACGGCAAACTGTTAATTCATTCAGTTTTGGGATTAAGTTTTGTGAATTTGACGTGCAAGTTGCCGTGAAAACGAAATGTAAAAGCATATCAGATGAAGCTGGGAATGATCTTTCTGAATGTTAATACACTAATTAGTCCAGTGCTCGTTCTCAATCGAGTACTCTTGTTCAGATGTTAAATTCCCCAACTGAACTTGTGCAGATAAAATTTCCATCTGCACAAGTATTTAGTTGAAACGAGAATCTTCCAAAAGTCGGTCTACAAAGTCACCACATTTTCCTTGCGGTTGGAACCGTACAAAGTTTGTGCATGAGGATGCCCGATCTGTGGGGGCGCTGACGATTATTATTGTTCCATAAGCCCTTTCTTTCCTCGTTAAATTTTAAAGTGCACCTTTTCTTTTCTGAAAGATGAAGCTTCTACTACTGCACTTTCTTATCCCCCCCCCAAAAAACCTATACTACATTCAGAAACCAAAGACATCTAAGAAAATTGTTGTAAGCTTAATGCACAAGAAATCATACGCAGAACATCTAGATGAGCGTAAGTACGATGATACACACACACACACACACATTTGAATAATATAAAATACGCGTACATATTCGATGGCGACGGACGAAAAAACTCAGAAAGTAGCCTGTAGGTGTTCAGTGAGTCTTACTCTCGAAAATGCTCCAATTGTGTGATGAGCATTGAACTGAGGCTTCAACACATTATCGCCCTAACTTGGAAAGTCTTCAAAGAATGAAATCTTCAGTCCCTTTTTCCTAGCGATGTCAGCTCGAACCCAACGTGAACGGTCTCCTGCTTCACCGGTAACTATAACAGTAGTATTTTTGTCACCGAAACTAGTCAAGGCCACCAATGTTTCTGGCTCAATAGCAGATGAAGCATCCACCAGAAAAATATGACTAAAATGTCCAGCAGTTAGACCTTTATCATGCAGCCGAAAGCTACTCATGAAAGTGGAGGAGATCACTCTGAATTTACAAAGTTCCTCCGTCGGAGGACAAGAGAAGTAAGTCTCTTTGTAAAGGCATGACCGGAGGATGTCTTCAGGTACCTCCTCTTTCTCGCGGAATGCAGCATTTGCTCGAAACATATCCGACTCAGGAATCCATTTCAACAAGCTTCTCATAAGCTGATCACAACAGCGGTTACTAGGAGCACATATAAGGATCCTATTTCCGTGTGAAGTTTGGCATAACTGGTGCACTGCTTCACTAATCACCACTCCAGTTCTCGTTAGCCTAAAACTGCTCTTTTCAACACAGATGCTCTTTTCAACACAGAGCTGGCCAGCCAATAGGTAAGGTGGTGAGCCACGAATGCTTAAAATATGACGACTGCAGATAATTGATTGAGATCAAGTTTATGACCAGTGCACAGCAGCGCTGGTGCAGTGGGAATGTTCGTACGCAAAACAGACTCAGGAAAGAGGAAGTTCCTAAACAAAGCATCAGATGCATTTTGTACAGCTTGATGAGCTCTTTTCAAACAGACTCTATTGAATGAGAAGCTGACGTCATATTTTCGGGTTGAATAATGATGAACATAAAAGTCATCTTCAAATTCTACTAAAACAACACTGCTCTTGACGACGCGATATATAAAGCCCTGTATAACAGGTAAGATCATGTCAATGGATAATTAAAGGAAATGAGACACACATTTAGAATCCAATGAATGTTTATGGATCGATGCTCGTAGTTTACCTGAAATGGCTCGGCATTTGTCCCCGATGGTCGTACATGGACCAAGTCCCTCGACAAAAGGAATGGGGGATTCTCTGGAAAAGAAGCCATATCAAATGCTACAAAGGTTTTCTCTTCCCTGTCTGGTTTTTTATAAACTGCTGCTCTCTGCAACTCTACAGTAACATTCTCCAAATCGAAATGAGTCCATTTCTGTTTCAAACGAAAGCATGATTCAATCTGTAATTCATACCACCAACCAATGGCTGCAATAGAGTACGACGAACACAACTTAACGAGACTTCAAAAGCAGATAGAATCCCTCGTATCTTTCAAAATTTTCTCAAGTAAAAGGTTAGACATTGGTCATAGTTTTTGTAAGTAACAAGTAAGAGGAAAAAGGCATTACGAAAGGGCAAATATTCAAGCGTACCTCATAGAAGAACTCTTCAGCATATAAGAGAGCAGCGAAATAATCCTTATAAGTCGCGGGAGACAGAGGCTGGTTTAGAACCTTCGGCGCAATGTCATTTTTGATCAAATCTTTTATATTGTCAGGAATTGCGAAGATAGGTAATGAATCCTTCTCAACCCATACATAACTTTTCTTCCCCATCTGATCTAATACATCTGAAGAGGCGTGAGATAGAGCTGGCTTAAACATTGGATGGAGCTTAGTGGAAGATACGGGACGTCCAGTAGAGGAGATGGACATTGAATTGAAGAAGCAGATGCCGGAGATGGGTTAGAGGCGGATGTAGATAATTTAGGAGAAAACTGAGATGATGCATTCAGAGAAGAAGATTTCTGAGGTTTAAACGAAGACGTTGGAGGGTTAGGGGACGATGAAGTAAATGAGGAAGACAAAGATGGTTTGGAAGAAGCTGTTGGTGTAGAGGAAGATGAAGGTGGTTTCGGAGAAGAAGTTGGAGGCTTTGGGGATGATGAATTTAGTCTAGATGAAGCCTGAGGTGGCTTAGAGGACGAGACGATATTAGATGTTTTAGTATAAGACGTAGATGACGATGCCGAAGGTATAGGAGGGTTAGCTGAAGAACTAGAGAAAGATTGCGACAGTTTGAATGAAGATGTTGTGGGGTTGAGGGGTGATTCAGATGAATTATATGAATGAACAAAAGTGGATTGGGGCAGCTTAGTTGAAGATGTTGGGGTTGCAAGGGATGTTGAATTCGATTCAAAGGAACAAGATTGTCGTGAAACAGGGGATAATGAAGATGTATTGAGTTTGGACAAAGACGACGCAGGCTTGGGGTTGGGAGACGATGAAGATGAACTAAAGGGAGATAGGACATGAGTATATTGGGTTGATGGGCGGTTTAAAGGGTTGCATAGTGTTTCTGTGGGAAGTTTCATGATAGTAATCACGCTTGTTGGAAACGGTTTTCGCAGGAAATTGACTGAGAGAATGATAAGCATTATCATGCTCATCATCACAGCAAAGAAGACATCGTAACAGATCACAAAAAATCGACATGCGATCCGTCCTAATGCGATCAAAACATAGAAATTCATCAAAATCATAAGATCAAGACCACTTATGGCTAAGAACAAAAAAGACAAAAACTCCATCTACCAAAAGTATTAACTTATGGCTTCAAAGTACCAGATTATTGAGAAACTGGAAATTGAAGCAGAGAATTAGAGAGAATAAAATCACAGAAGCAAAATGTTTATAAACACAATGAAATGAATTGAAGTCTAAGGATAAGTAGCTTACCAGTGATTCTAGCTACAAAGATCGATGATCCAACAACTACTGCAACTCAGGAACTAAAAAGCCTTGTTGACGACCCGACGACTAGGAACTAAAGCAAGTAGTATTCGGATAGTAATTATACCATTCAATATATCTCCTAAAAAGCAATTAAAGCAAGTGTACGGTTAAATATATTTATTTTACTTCCTTACGTTTGTATCATAATATATTTTACTAAATTAATATACCGAAATGTTTATACCGAAATATATTGTAGTGAATTAGTGGCACATAAAAAAATATGCAAAAACATAAGTGTACCGAAAAATTTCGTACCTAAATATATGATACTAAACTAGTATACTGAAATGTCCATACCTAAATATATTATACTAACCTATTGTACCGAAATATTTGTACCTAAAATATTGTAATGAATTAATGGCACATAAGAAAATATGCAAAAACATGTGTACCGAAAAATCTTTACGAAAATAGTTTCTTATATAAGATACTATAATGAGAATTAAAATTTATAATATTTTCATAAAATTTTCGAATTTACGACATAAAATTATATTATAAATGGAAGAGAGAGATACTTTAATACGCTGGCATTAATTAATAGAGTCTAGGAACTAAATCAATCAATTTTTAATCTTCTATAAGACATTTTTCTAAACTTCATCTTATTTAAAGATTAAAATCTGATTTTCTATATTTATTTCTTAATGTGTAAGACTAACTCCAACTCTTGGAGGTTTGGGTTAGTGGTGTGGCCCACTTGAGTGAGTGGAAGTTTGGTGTTGAAAGCCAAACGCCTAAGTTTGACGCACACACGAAAGGGGACACGCCATGCGCTGCAATCTGAGGACCCACCCACGTGGGCTTGCTGCCCACTTACCTATTTCATTGATGAGCCAAATAACTCTTTTATATAATCTAATGTCATACATTCAAATGGGTTGTTGGTATCCAATAGTTCATATTTAATTGATTTAATGTTTAATTTTTTATTTTATAAATTTATTTAGGGTAAATATCAGTTTACTACTCTCAAGTTTTATGGTTTTTAACATTTGATATATAAATTTTTTTTCGTTCTATAGTCATACCTAAAGTGTTACTTTTGAAACAGTCTCATACATCTGTTAGTCTGGTTGTTAAGTCTCCCGTTACGTGGCGCCTATGTGGACAATGACTGGTCCCACGTGGAAATTAAACATTAAAAAAAAAAAACTTTAACGAAAAGCACCCGGTACTGTTCATTTTAACGAAAAACCATATTTTTACACTAAAAAGTCAATCATCGTACTATTTATTTTACCCTTTATTTTATCCTTATTATTAAAACTCAAAGTTTTCAAAACCTTTTCATTAGTTTCCTTAAATAAAAATGAAAAAATTGGAAAAATAAAAATAAAAATTTGGTCGTCTTCTACCTCCGGCCCTTCCTCCCTTATCCCTCCATTATCTCCTCTGCACCAACCCACCAAACCCTTCCCCCTCCATCTTCGATTCTAGCCATCCAGCCATCAACCCACCCAACCCTCATCTTCTTTTCAACGGCTTTTCCCAGGCCAATTCTTCCTCGCTGGCCACCAAGGAGACAAGCCCGACGATGTCTGCCGCCCCTCCGGCTTCGCACGAAACGCCGAGACCATCGATTCAAAATCCTTCGCTCTCACCCACTCTCGCCCCGGCCTCTTTTCCCTCAGCCTTTCTGAGAACGACGACGAGGACGACATCAAGCTCGACCCGGAATACCGAAATGTCGAATTCTTCATTACCACCGGACCCGAAACTCCGACCCTGATCCAGTAGCCCTTAAAGCCTCTGTCCTTCAGCAACGGCGTCCTCAAGCGCGACAACCCCACGCACCACCTCCACGCTCCATTTTCGAAGACCCCGTGCAGCCAAACACCCCCGCCACGACAAAGCATGTCATCGAGTACCAACCCCACCACCTCCACCATCCTCCTTCGCCAACTCACCCCGGCAACTGAAGCCCCAGTTCAGCTTCTCCACCGCTGATCTCATCCTGCTACTACCCCACCGGCCCCCACACACCCATCGCTGTTTTGGGTTCGAGGGAAGGGTAGGCGGAGGTGAGAGAGACGAGGTGGGTGTGGATAAGCCACTTGGTGTCTTCGGAGTAAGGGAGGGCAGATGGGCCGTGCTGGGAGAGGACGGAGCTCAGGAACTGTTGAATCAGTTGGGGGTTCGATAAGTTTGGACCCGCCGGTGGAATCATCGCAGCAATTTGAACCGGGTCAGGTTTGGAAGGTTGAGATTTAAAATTCCGAGAAGAAGAGAATGGCGATGATTTTGATCAGAGTGAGTTTTGATGGAATCGAAAATTTGGGTGGAAATTGGGATTTTTCTTGTTTGTTATGTTTGCTTAGGAGAGAAGGGAGAAGCCGGAGAAGGGACAGAGTGTGAGCGTGTTGGGGACCTGCGAGTGTGTGGAGTGGTGACTTGTACGACTTTTTTGGGGGTTGCATAGGAGAGAAGCGTGGGAATGGGTTGCAGTGGAGAGCATGGAAGAAAATATCGATAATCGCCGATATTATCGAATTTTGACCAAGTCGATATTTTAACTGGTATCCAAGGGGTTTTCGGACAAATTTCGTGATAATATCGATAATATCGCGATATTATCGATATTATCGCGAAATATCGGAACTGTGCATGTCGGAGATGAACGCCGGAGCTTCTACAGCTCCGGCCAACTGTAAAACAACCCCCTAGACTTCGAGGTTCGATCTAGGTATCAACATGAAATAGAAGACAAGAGGAACGTTTTTATAACGTCTGTTTGCCGTGAAACGGCCGGAGGTGTTCGGAAAGTTCTTCGACACCCACGGCCTCACTGGAGATGCCTATTCCCGAGTCTATTCCCGAGTCGATTTCATCCCAAAATCCTTGCAAAAGAGAGATAAGAACTTCAGTTTTATCTAAGCTTCGATCTAGAACATAAAATGAAAAACCCAAAGCTTACCTAACGCGAGAAATTGAAGGAACTCGCCGAAGCAGGTGCGATGGTGTGCTTGTGGGTCTCGGTGCAGAGAGAAAGGAGAGGTGTATGTGGGTCTCGGTGCAGAGAGAAAAGGAGGAGCAGAAGTCTGGTGGTGTGTGGTCTCGGAGAGAGAAGGAGAGGGAGAGAGAGGAGAATGGAGAATGGAGAGAGAGGTAGAAGGAGAGAGATCAAGAGTGTGTGTGTGTGTTTAGGGAGAAAGAGGGAGAAGAGAGATCTCTGAGGTGGAGAGAAAGGGAGATCGTGTTTGCGTGTGTGATGTTTTGTGTGCGTGGTGTTGTGTGTGCGTGTGTGGTTGCGCATTGTGTGTGTGTGTGTTTGGGTTCCTCTGTCAGGAGGACACATGCACTCAGGATTCTCCAGTTTTCTTATTTTACATATTTTGAACCACTTTTAGAATTAAAACTTGTATTCTTTTCAAGCCATGGATATTTTCTTCAAAACCGTGTGCCGTTTCTTTTTTGTGTATCATCAGCAGTGGAATATTCTTTCAAAAGCTGCCATTGTGATATTCTTAAGAGCTTGGAGTTCTCCCTTTCAGAGCAGATTTTCAACTTCTTTTCTTCCTTACCCCTTCAAGTCATTCTGACCATTCCAGAGCTCAAAGGGTTTCCATTTTAAAGTAAGTTTACAAACTTATATTGTTTTTATTCTTGTATTATACAAACAAAATTTTGTGTGGACTCGTATGTTAAATTTTTTAAGTTAATACAAATTGCGATTGTTGTTTGTAAGTATTAACTAATGTTAACAATTACACGTTAATTTTTTTTAACTCTTGATGTTAGTTTTTGTAGGTAGTTAACAATTACATGTTAATTTTTTAAGTAATTAAGTAATGTTGTATAATTATTCCCTAGGATAATTTTTAATATGTTTTATTATTTTATTTTATTTTTTCAAAACCATTCCAGATCCATTCCAAAGCTTGAACACAAGGGTTCCATATTTAAGGTAAGTTTTACAAACTTATATTTATATTTTGTAATTTATACAACAACAATAAATTTGTGTGGACTCATATGTTTAATTTTTTTAAGTAATTAAACTTGCATCGTTTTTTGGTGTTTTATTTAAAATTACATGTTTTTACATTTAAGTATGGATTAATTATTTTTTAAATTAAGTATTTTGTAATTTTTTTATTATCAAATTGGATTTTATTCCCTAGGTTTTTTTTTATCAATTGGATTTTATTTTTTATAATCAAATTGGATATATTAATTTTTTATATATCAAATTGGATTATTATTCATTAGGATTATTATCAATTGGATTATTATTCATTAAATTATTATTATTAAATGGTTTATCAATGGATTCATAATTGGATTATTATTAAATTGGATTATTATCAATTGTTTTTTATCCATTATAATGTTTTATTATTAGATTATTTTTTTTTGGATTATTCATTAATTGGATTTTTCTTGTTTTACCAATCATTTTCCCATCAACTTTAAAACTTAATTCTTCTGTAGAATATACTTTATTTTTTTTATGGTTTCTCTTATAAATATGTCATATTACTAACACTATGTTTTATATTAGGATTAATTTTTTATCAAATAGGATTATATTCCAAATGGTTTTTTTATTATTTTATTTAAAGTGGATTATTATTTAAATTGGATTATTAAAAAAGGGAATTTATATTATGAATTGGAAAAAATATTATTCATCACTTTATAGGATTATTATATTAGGATTATTATCAATATTAATTCATCATGATATTAGGATTATTTTTTATCAAATTGGATTATATTAATATTTAGGTTTTATTATTCCATATTATTTTTTTAATTACTAAATTTTTACAATCATTTCTTTATTTCAATTTTTCTTCTGTAGAATAACTTTATTATTTAGGTTCTCTTATATAACCGTCATCACTACTATAATTTTGGCCAAAAAATATTTGTCTAATTTTAATGAAAAATAAATTAGGTACATTTTTCCAGTGGAGCTACTAAACGTGATCGCTTGGGAACATGGATACCCAATAGATGAAAAAACATGACACAATTTGCAAATATTGTGGTCGGGTAATGAAGAGTGGCTTAAGTAACCATCTTAGTGGATCCCAGCAAAAATAACCAACGATGCGATAATGTCCCCCCAGAAGTGAAAGGCATTC